AATTGAGTCCCTTATATTTTATAATGTTCTAGCTCTCTCTTTCTCCATATTTATGTCGAATATTGTCACTGAGTTTCTCATGAAAAAGGTTTAAGCATAAATATAAAATAAAGGTTATATAATTCTACTGTATTGTATATTTCATCATGTGAATTAAAAAAATCTTAATTTTTTTAAAGTGATTAATTTGTAAATCAGTCTGACTCACAACTTCCTTTATTACCCAAACCGTCACCATCAGTTGATACACAGATATGTAACATGCACGCTGGAGAGAAATACGAACCCTGTCTCGATTTTTTTCTCCAGACATGATAGAGAGAGCGATCATCAACACATTTGTGGGGCATGACGTGGTGGAGCCTGGCAACTACGTTCAGATGTTCCCCTATCCATGCTACACCAGAGACGAGTAAGGAACGGACTAACACGTAGCCCTGTACTTTATTTACTGTGATTCTGTTTATGTGATAATAATAAACAAAATAATGACACGTTACCATCAGAAAGTCATGTAAAAAGATGTCTTAAGCAGTTTGAAAAGTTCATTTAAACGTGACCAACGGTCAGTTTGGATGAATATATTCCTCCATCATCACATCTGTTACTGTGATCATCAGCTCTATGTTACTGTTTTCTTTGCAGTTTTCTCTTTGTGATTGAGCACATGATGCCTCTGTGTATGGTGATCTCCTGGGTTTACTCAGTGGCCATGATGATCCAGCATATTGTAGCTGAGAAAGAGCACAGGCTTAAAGAGGTGAGTGTTTGTTAGCGTGATTTAAAACAAAGCAAAGATTGAAACTTTAAACAAACAAATATTGGGCTTGTATTTACAAAAAACATGCAGTACAGCTCAGTGATAGAATCGATCGCAGCATTTCATGCATGTCAACACCCCCCAAACAAGTCCAGCTTATTGCTGGTAATGTGGACCAGTGTCTCACAACAGCTGGACAGTGGTGGACAGTGATTTCAGTAATGGGCCCAAGCACTCATGTACCTGAGGGACATGATCGCATGTCTCCATGTCCACACCCACTGGTCCAGAGCTGGTCCAGTGTTCTGCAACCAGGACAATAACTGCATGGTTCCTCCTGGATCTGAAGTCTGATAAGTAGACAAACTTTCCTGACCAGATCCAAGATGAAGCGACTCTCTCCTCCTCTGGTAGAAACCCGTCATACAAGCAGCCAGCTGAGGGAATACAAGGATACTCACCCTGCCTGTTACCTCTCACCCAGACCAGTGGAATAAATGTGCACCAGCAAGCAGCTGCAAAGAGTCACCAGTGACCTGCTCCCAGTATGTGTGCAGCTGTGTGGCTCCTTTATTTTTCCTTTAGTGTTGAAAAGCAGGGTTGCTCCAAAATCCATGGCAGCATTGTTCCACGCTGTACATCAGCGCGCAGCCTCAGTGTTGCTCTTTGCTGCCTCCTCTCAGGCTACTGTGATACTGCGACCTCGCCGGCCTTAAACACACAAACATGCGTCCATGTTCTGCTTAGATAAACTTATCCCTGGAGAACCAATGGGGTCAGAGCCAACCCCATTGGTTTTCTAGGGAACCCATGGGGTCAAATTTGACCCCATGGGTTCTCCAGGGTTATTTCTTGATTTTGTGCAATCCACTTTTTACATTTTCACATTTTTAATGATATGATTATAATTTTTGTTTTTTATACATTGATTAATACCTTACACCAAATACATATTATATCA